CTTGAAGGACGATAGATATAATCCCATCACAGACAGCATTGTACTGCAAGATTGATTTTGAAATGTTCTTTCTGACAATGAATACAATGTTGTTCCTCTTGATCGTGTTATTTCCAGAATAGTAAATCATATGATATTCAGATTCAAAATGGCCAGTACCCATCCATTTCAGTGCAATAATGCCTAGGTGTCCGATCTTTATTCATTCCATTTCATTGTTGACGACTTCCAATTTTCCTAGATTCATACTTCGCCCATGCCCAGTTCTGATCATTAGCAGCTTTTGGCAGCTGTTTTCCCTTTCCTTGACTCACGCCCCATCAGCAAATGAAGATCCAGAAGCCTTCACTCGCACAGGCTTTGCCCTTAGAATTCTAGGAATCAAAGCCTATGCGATGTTTTCTTGTAGATACACAGCCTCAGCAGTTACTCTTTTTTCTTTCTTTCTGTCGTTCTAATTATAGCTATTAGGCTACTTTTGTCAATTCATCTTTTTACAGGTTTACAAGTTATTGACAACCATAATTAGCCGTGCTGTTCTACTCTCATCAGTATGATTTTTCTGTTAATATAAATCAAAACTCAGTGCCTAGTTATGATCTGAATTTATGGAATCAGCCAGAATAGACCTAGAGGTCTTTCAGAAGGAGAAAGAGGCCCTGAAAGGAGATGTGATTCCTGACTCAGCTGGTACAAAATCCTGCCTACTAACTCCTTGTCCTATGGGCTTTTCCGCCACAAGCTATGATGTCACCTTTTTCTTGTGCATCTGAAAGGACAGCACACTCCAAGCCTGAAAATATGAGGCTGTGCTCTGTTCTTGACACATGAATGTGATAGTTTCGCAAAGGACCAAACAAGATACCAGCAACTGGTTTCCTTTGAGTTGACACCAACCTGTAGTCAATTCATGCGTGTCTGTGTCAAACTACTCTACAAGGCTGTCAATGATTTATTTTTCAGACACATTAGCAAGTTGCCTGGTCTTTTCCCAAGGCACTTCTGGGTGGACTTGAGCTTCCAACTTTTAGTTAGCAGCCAAGCATATTAATCATTTGTCTTAATCAATTCAGACGCATCATGACCCACTTTGGACAGAGAACTTTTCTGTAGCATTTCTGAGACTGTAAACCTTTATAGGAACAAATAGCTTCATTTTTCTTCAGAAAGGGAGCTGGTAGGTTTGAACCCATAACCTGAAGGTTAGTAACCCAATGCTTAACCTACTATGCTAACTAGCTAAGGAATTCTCCATCCATATACATAGAAGTCACGATTTACAACACATCGTAACATGGAGGTTAATTATACCAGATCATAAAATGGCATAATACATGGTAATCAAGAGCTGGCCAAATTGACAACTACATAATATACTACATAGCAATCAAAGGCTAGTCAAATTGACTCACGTTGGGACCAGGGAGAGGGGTGCAGAGGGAGGCACAATTCAATCCAGGACGCCATCCACCCCACCCATAGAAAAAAGTACCCAGTTGGAATTGGCCCACCTGTTCACCGCTGCTACCTGCAGGGTTCAGCGCACTCTTCTTCTTCGGCCACTTAGGCCAAGTTAACCAAGTGATCTGGTTCCTAGTGGCTCGAGAGGACAGGGTAGGATGCCCCTGTGAGTTTCCAAGACTAGCTATTTAAGGGACTAAAAGCCCTATCTTTCTCCGGAGGTGCAGTTGATGGTTTTGCACTGCTGGCCTTTCGGCTAGTAGCCTAACGCATAATTATCAGCAGGGCGGTTTCCAACTCATAGTGAACCTGTGTACAACAGTACCGTCTGCCAGGCTCACAGTTGTTGATATGTTCAAGCCCACTATTGCAACCACTGTGTCAGCCTAGCTCATGGAGGAGCTTCCTCTCTGTCATCAAGCCCTGATACAGAGTGGTTACCCAGTGGGCTGCTCCCCGCAAGGTTGGCAGTTAGAAACCACCAGCCTCTCTGTGGGAGAAAGACAGGCGTTCTATTCCTGTGAAGAGTTGCAGGCTCGGAAACTCACAGGAGCAGCTCTACCCTGTCCTGTAGGGAAGGCCCTGATGAGTCGAAATCAGTTTGAAATCAGTAGTGAGTTTGGTTTGGGTTCGACTTTATCAAGCGGCATGTCTTTCTCCTGGCATTGCTCGCTCTTGAGGAGCCCTGTGGCATGAATTGGGGTATGAGTTAGCTTGCCAACCACGAGGCTGCCAGTTTGTGAGCCACCAGCAGCTCCAAAGGAGAAAGATGGGGCTTTCTCCTTCCTTAGAAAGTTGTAGCCTCAGAAATGCACCAGGGCAGTTCTACCCTGTCCTTTAAGGTCGCTGTGAGCCAGGATTGACTACATGGCAGGGGGGTTGGGTCTGGTGTTTGTTCGTCTCTCCTGAGGACATGCTCAAATGCACGTGACGAAGTCTTGCCAGCCTTGCTTCTAGAACGTGTTCTGGCTGTAAAGAGTGTTCCAAGACACATTTGTTTGTTCTGCTGGCAGTCCATGTTACTTTCTTTCCTTTTTTTAAGTTCATGCTACTTTCTACATTTTTCAACCACACCATAGTTCAGATGCATGAGTTCAACTTTCACATGTATATGGAGTGATTGGGTCTAGTGCGCTTACGCCCTCAAAGTGACATCCTTGTTCCTCCACACTTAACGCGGTCTCGTGCAGCAGATTTGCCCAATGCAATATGCCGTCTGCTTCTTTATTGCTGCTGCCATCAGCATTAGTTGTGGATGCTAGCAAGGTGAAATCCTTGACAACTTCAATCTTTTCTCCATTGACCATGCTGTCATCTATTGCCCTAGTTGTTTAACAAATGTGTAATGCATTCATGATCGTTTGTTTAATGGTGAATAAAAGAGCTCATTGATTTTGTTCACCTTTGTTTTTCTTTTTGTTTGGAGTCCCTGGGTGGCAAACAGTGAAGCACTTTTTAATTGTGTCATCATTTCCAGAATTGGCTGCAGTGATTGCATTTGATAAGTGAAATTTATCCCAATCTGTCGATGTTTTGATGATGTCACCATCTTACCACCACCACCAACAACAAATCAACTGTCTGTGTTCTAGGTGCTGCATTGTTGAATAAATGTTTTCAATGAAGTTTGAATATGAATATAATTTTTATAGTCAGTTAAAATTGTATTCATTTTAAAAGTTATGCCTGGTATCTTGGCAGTTCCAAAGCTACCTGCCAACATTATTCCGTATTGATAATTCAAGTGTGAGTGCCCTCATATTTAGTATCTATTAAGTAGTAACATGCATTTCAAAGTAATTTTAAGACGTGGGAGAAAACGTGAATCTACATAGAAGACCGCCAAGAAAGAGAATAAATGAGTATTGTATAGCCAGAAATACAGTCTTTTAAAATAATTCTTTAACACTGTTTTACACTTCAAAATTATGTTCCCTTATTTGTATTGCTTTTGATAATGAGAAATGACAGGAAGGACTTTGGGGGACTACTTACAGTATGAAAAGGTGGACAGGCTAATGTCTGTTCTTGAACTAAATTGGATTTAATCAAATCTCTCATGCTAAAGAGATCACAAATAAGTAGAATCACCTCCAAGGGTGTCTTACCTAGGGGTCTTTGAGACACTTTGAGTGCCAGAGGCTGAAGTTTATTCTAGAAAGATTTATGGATCTTAGGAAAGGTTGGAAAAGATGATGAATGTGTGCTGGTTTTTGCCAGAAAGTACAGGTATACTAGCTAGTCATCAACATAAATAAAAGTTATCGATACAAGGATCTAGTAGTTGATACCCCTGCATTGAGGTTTTTATACAGTTTCACCCAAATGTTGTATTAAAATTAGTAAATAAGTCCCTTAAAAATCATTTTAAGAGAAATTAATTTTGAAGAGGAAAAAAGAGCAGCGTTCTGTATGTCTTTTCTCTTCGTTAATCTGGTTAGGGGAAGTTGTATCTTTCACACCATGAGTTTGCTCACCATGCATTGTGAGGGCATAACTGGCCTCTTGGATATCGAGCTTCCCTGCGTTGTTGTGAAACAGTCAAATGTTGTCACGTCTAGTAAGAAACTCCGGTTCCTCAAAACTAGATCCAAAAAGAATTGAGTTGTGTAGAATTCACTTCATTTGGGTCTCTTGGCATGGGAGTTATAGAAATGCCCTGGCCTTTGCCAGCACAAGTCTTGGGACAGCACACAGTAGAAAGGTTCATTTCTCTCAAGCCAACTGAGCAGGCCTGTACAGGACAGCAGGCACAATCCTAACTGCAGCCGGAGGAGGGAGAAATGCATGTAGAGCAGTGGTTCTCAACCTGTGGGTTGCGACCCCTTTGGGGGTTGAACGACCTTACACAGGGCTCGCCCGATTCATAACAGTAGCAAAATTACAGTTTCCTGGCTGAAAAGACCTTGCCTTTTTGCTTTAGAGGACTAGATTGCCCTGATCATAATCCCCAGGCTTATCAGGATCATGTGATCTCTAGAGCTGCACACGTAGTCTTAGACACTGAGACATGTGTTTGGGTCCCTCCTCGCTCCTGTTCCAGTCTTCCAGCACTAAGACTTTGTAGTTCTTCCCACCCAGGAGCCTAGCTGCTGCCCAGCACAAGGGGATACACACTGACAGATGCTCTGAAACTCTGCATCTCAAGGTAGCACCATGGTGTCTTTTGTGTCCCTTGCGATGTTGAACTTTCTCCTTTCATTTCTTCTTGTCTTCTATGTACAAACTCCCTTGGAAGGAAGGGGACTTTTTTAGCAGAGACATAGCCCTGCCTATCTGATTTGAACGGTATCGCCGCGCTCCATTGCAGAGTACTGAAGTCAATAGCTTCCTCTCATGTACCCCAAAAGCCGAAAAAATATAAACTTCCTCAACAACTAGACAACAAAATATCTAATCTCATCCGTGGGTGGGGAGCAAAAATCGTTATAAAGTGATTTGGATTGTTTTGGTTAATGAGTCACTTCCTTTCCCGTTGTTATTCAAATATGAAAAGTGAATTAATCTCTAGCATAACACAATGTCCACTCTTTCTGCAGCTCCCGAAATTCTCAGAGGCTGTGCCTACGGACCCGAGGTGGACATGTGGTCTGTAGGAATAATCACCTACATCTTGTAAGTGACGTTTTATTGCAAATGGTTTTGGTTCGAGGAAACACTTTGTAGTTATCGATAAACCATTTAGTCAATTCTGACTCAGAGCCCCCTATAACAATTCGATAGTCTTTATAACAAGCAAGATGACTTTCTGACAGTCTGACTTGTTTATTTGTTCATTGTATACTAAATATAGCCTGATAGAATTTTCTAAAAATAGCATTGCTTTTAAAGCCATCATTTTCTTGGTACCAGAACTTCTGTTCAGAGCGGTTTTTCATTTCATCTTGCTATGTAATTGTGGCAGATTTGGAGAACGATTCTGTGTTGGAAGATATTGGTGATGGTGTAACTCAACATCACCTATTAGTCTTGCTCTTATTTCACTCTTTTTGCATCTTACCTAAAATAATTAAAAGGTTAGTCCTCTTAAACGACAAATGAGTATTTAATTTCTTAAACAGTCCCAAACCCATACATTCCTAGTTGGAAATATTTAAAATGCCTTTTTCTGTGATTTTGTTTCCTACTTCTGGTAGGTTTTCCAGAGTCTTTGGCTGAATACTCAATACACAGTTCTCTTGGAGAAAATGGTGTCAATCTGTCATTCATTGATAGCTCCAATTCCATTCTTGAATTCCCAACAAATAATAAATGGGGCCTTGGAGGAAATTCACCAAAGACATGATAGAGTTACAGAGGAGAGGGAGGGAAATGAGCAGAAATGACAGAAGAACTTCTGGAAAGGAAGATGACTGAGCGCAACTGCAGAGCAAGAGAGCATTGAGTTCAAGAGTTCAATCCAAACCGAGTAGACTGAGTTGCCATTTAGTTACATGATTTAATCGATGAGAGTGGATGGCCCAGTGATCAGAGTCAGGACCCGGAACAAGGACCCAGAGTTATGCTGTGATACAGCAAAGGACAAAAGCTGGAAAAGTGAAGAAGCAAATTAGACAAGAACTCTGCTTTAAAATTCAGCTAACAGAAGCCACTGCAGAATTATTGTTGAAAGCCATGATATTCAGCTATATAAAGAGATTGCATGGGAAGGAGTGAGAAAAAAGAACTGTAATAAAATGTAATGATCTTGGAATTTGTAATGTCTAATGTAGGAGCCCTAGTGGAGTCAGACTGTTGACTGCAAGGTTTGTGTTTTAAACTCGCCAGCAGCTTACAGGAGAAAGACGAGGCTCTCTGTTTCTCTGAAGATTGACAGCCTCAAACCCTATAGAGGAGCACTATGAGTTGGAATCGACTCGATGGCCGAGAGTTTGATTTGGGGGGGTTGAAGGTAATATATATGACCCAATAAGGAGCCCTGGTGGCATAGGGGATTACACATTGGGCTACTAACCACAGGATCCACAGTTCAAAACCACCAGCCCCTCCTTTGGAGAAAGATGAAGCTTTCTACCCCTGTAAAGAGTTAACAGTCTCAGAGACCCACAGGGCATTTCTACCCTGTTCAATAGGGTCACTATGAATCCGAATTAACTCAATGTCAGTGAGTTTGGTTTTTGGTTTATATGGCCTATTACTACCCTGTGGCTATCTAGTGAACTCTGACTCCTACTTACCCTATAGGAGGGAATAAACGTGCTCCCTAGAGTTTCTGAGCCCGTAACTCTTTACTAGAGAGCAGCCTCACCTTTGTCTCCCAGAGCAGCTGGTGGGTTCGAACCAGAGACCTTGTGGTTAGCAGCAGAACCTTTAACCCACTGTGCCACACTAGAAATAGGATCAGTAGACTAGCTCTTCCAAGCAAGTTAGCAATCTAAGTTCTCCTTATCTCAGCAGCCAAGACAAAGAGGTTTAATGCTATTATGAACTATCAGAATAGTTTCACTATATGATTTCCTGTGTTTCCAAAATTTATAAAAACTTGAGTAGAATTTGAAGAGACAGAGAAATATATATATATATTTTTTTTTCCTGTGCAAATACAAGCCATTAGAGCATCCATTCTGTTTGGCACATTGAGTATTACCATTCATTCAAATGAATCTGTAAGGCTCCTATAAAAATGTACAGTCTCAGAAATCCTCTACAGGGTGGCTATGAGTTAGAATTTTTCTATTTTGATGGCAGCTGGTGGGTAAGGCTACCAGATAGAATTACTTCTCGTTATACATGAGATCACTTTTACAGTGGGGAAAGAATAAAAATTATGTAGGTAACATTTCCTCCTTGATGCCATTCGGTGAAAAACTGGATCCCACAAGTAAGGGCTTAGGTTTGCCCCTAAAGTAAATGAACCCAATTCAATCCCATGTTGGAATGTGCCGCAAAGGGCTGAAGCAGTGAGGGTATAAAAGAGATTGAGGAAGGAGATTAAACGACTTCACTCGGAGGTATGGAAGACAGGAAATGATGATGTGATTACTGCCAAGGGAAAATGAAAGAAACATTGTGATAATTTTCTAAACAGTTGATCCTAGCCCTGAAGATAATTTTTTGGTTTTGTTTTTTAAACTGTCAAGTTGCTTTTGCCTTGGGCTTCACAAGGTTCATGGGAAAATAGAGTTGACAGATAATGGGAGTTTTCCACCAACTCCCTCATAATGTGTTGTTGTGTTTTCAGTGATGGTCTGCATAGAAGGTTAGGTTCTCATTTGATTTCTCCACGGTTGATCCTTCTTCACAATGTGTGAGCATCCTCATTGCTTCCATTCTGCTTGGTTTATGTCCACTAGTCTCGCTTTTCTGCCCCTCATGGTCTGGCCTTTTGTTTATGTAATTGTTGACCTTTTAGTCTCATAGGTAATTCTATGAACGCACACAGTACTTATGAGTGCTATTGGCTACAAGGTGCACTAGGGTGAGTACTAGTTCAAAATGTAAACACCATCGAGGACAAGAGTCTCAGGGTCCTCTATTAATCAGTTTTTACAATTATTTTGTTTGTTTGTTTTAGGAGTTTGAGGTCATATTTCACATATTTATCCCATGCTATCATTCCATTTCTTGTGGTTCTGATTAAGACAATTGAAAAGTACCAGTTCTTCTGGTCTCCAAGCAGATTATGCCGTGTGGACTCACAGATCTCATCACTGTGCCAGGTTAGCTTTCATGTGCCCCCAGTAATGACTGGTGACTTGATATTGTGACTTCCAGCCATGTGGCTCATGGCCTCCCCGTGAATGGGAACCAAATGGAGCATAATACAGAAATAACAGGAAAGTGAATTAGGGCAGCGGGTCAATTTCTCATTGATGCTGCCTGGGAAAGTAAATGTTACAATGAAGCTACTTTATGGACCCCCATCAAATACTTTCCCTAGTCCTCTAACTGTTGAAGGACCTGATTAACATGCCTTGATCTGTACGTAAATTCTAGTGTGAATAGCGTATTCTAAAATGAAGCCATGGATAAAAACTCATTCCATTCTGTTCACTCTGCCTCCTTGTTGTGCAGTATGTTGCTGCATTTTACCATTTCATGTTCTCCTTCTTAAGAGAAATCTAGCTCGTCACACGAGGCGAGCTGGTGCCAGGGCTTTACTTTCTTGAGATTCCACTAGGCTGAAAATGAGAGGCATTCTGTTGCTTCTGCCAGGAATTCTGGCCCCTTTGACTTTTATCCTAAAATCCTATGATCTCAAGCCCAAAGCTGCGGGACTGTGCCCGTTCGATCATTCTGTTTGCCACACTGGGTACTTAATTCACTTAAATGAATCCCAAAGCCGCATCATAGAGTTCCTTCTGCTTATGCATGAAACCACTTTTAAATCAGGGGGAAATGCTCTTTTTTCCATTCTGTACCTTCTGCCCACTGCCAGGAGCAGCTCAGAATCTAGCAGCGTCGGAGGTTCAAACTCTGCCACTCAGCTCTCTGCATCGCAGCGCTACCCAAGGCTCAGAGCTGCTCTGCATTGTAAAATTACACTTCCACCTGTCTTTCTCAGCCGTCACTGTCAGCGTGAGCACAGTGCAATGCTGACGTGTATTTGAGCGTGTGGGTGTGGGTTTGAAGCTCTGTGTTTCATCTCTTCCATTTTGGGGCTCAGGCTGTCATGACATAAACTTTTCACCTCGTCACCAAAGCACAAAGTTGCTGACATGATTGAGAGGAAAGAAGGCACGAGAGCACTGTCTTCTGAACTGTCAGGTTTTTTTGAAGGAGAAAAATGGGAAGAATTGTGTAAACTAAGTTTGGAAAGTTGGCTGATTTTTTCATGATCACCCAACCAAAGGCCAGGCAAAGCAGAGAAGGTCAGGCAAGGCTGCGCCTCTTCTGGTCCAGTGCGGAGGTGCCCTGCTCACTTCCCTCCCCAGGAGATGGGAACAGAAGTCTCTTCACAAAAAACACAGCAGGCAAAAGGAAGACCCTTTGGCTCAAGCATCAGCATCCAGTCTTGCCGTTGCTGGGTGGCTCCAAAGGATTTGGAAGAGACAAAGATGCTCCTAGTGGAACGTTCTCAGCACATCAAGTCATGAGAAATGGCTTCTTCTTAGAAACCCAAAACTTAAATTTTTCTTGCTCGGCACCAACCTGGCTGGCTTAAGGGAAGAATTCAGATGACGATGTCTTTTAGAGTGTTTTTTTCTTTCAAAACTTTGAGTTGTTGCTTTTTTTTACTGTTTGTTTTGCTTTGCTTGTACAGTTTCCTTTTGAGCTCTCGCAATTGCAGATCTTTTATTTATCTGAAGTTTTCTCCCCCCACAAAGATTTACGGTCTGAGAAACCCCCAAGAGCAGTTCTACTCTGTCCTTGAGCATTACCAGGAGTCACTATCGACTTGATCGGCCGTGTTTAATTTGGTTTAGCGACCTGCAAACCACCCAGCCATGGTCGTGCCTGACCAGTAACTCACATTCCCTCTCTCTCGAGTCGAAATCTCCTTGATGGCCCAAAGTGGATGAGGATTCCCAGGATGGTTCTCTTTGCTCCTTTGTTTGCCCTTCACTTTGATGTTGAGCCGTAGTAGAAGGAGAGCCCTGAGTGTTGTGGTGAAGGCATTGGCTGCTAAGTGAAAGGTCAGCAGTGTGAGCCCACCAGTCAATCTGAGGGAGAAAGACTAGACTTCCCGCTCCTGTAAGATTGACAGCTGTGGAAACCTAAAGGAAGCAGTCCTGCCGAGTTGTACGCAACTCTCTGGCAGTGAGTTTGGTTTTATTTGCTTGTCGTTTCTGGGCTTAGTCTGGTTTGGTAGGAGAAGAAGCTGATGGGTGTGGACGGTGATGGTGGAATGTCTAGAAGGAGGACCAGCGAGAGGCCCCACTCAAGGGGCAAGTGATTCTGCCTGCTCAACTCGCGCTCACTCTCGAAGCCATTCCTTGGTAGTAATTTTTCTATATTTGTTCACACTAAAATCAAAATCAGAATTGATAGAAATATGACTATGATGTTTTTCCATTTCTATGGAGGAATTCAGTAAACAGCACTGAATAAGAATGAATGAAAACCTTTTCTACTTACTCTTTAAATCTCTTTACTCTCAACTCTTCTATTATTTGTAATAAATTGAGTGTCTCTCTTTTTCTCACTCTCTCTCGCTCTATCTTCTTTAATTCCTGTTGGGGAAAAATTATGTAAAGCACTTAGCACAGTGCTTATGATAGTGTTAACTATTCTTATTGTTATTGTTTTATAATGATTCCTCTTACTACGTATGTTTATAAAAATTTTGTTGGTTTTGTCTCTGTTCTTATTTCCTGGAGGCATGATTGTGGGTTTACATAATTAAAAATGGATGAATGTAACGAGGCAATTGAATATTTTCTGTGTGAGAAAGGATGACTTTTAGTCTCTGCCAAAATTTGAGGAAATATCCACAGGCCTTTAAAAATACTTCCTTCCCTGTCTTTTGTCCCTCTAGACTTTGTGGATTTGAACCATTTTATGATGAAAGAGGCGATCAGTTCATGTTCAGGAGAATTCTGAATTGTGAATATTACTTTATCTCCCCCTGGTGGGATGAAGTATCTCTAAATGCCAAGGACTTGGTAAGTATGACAAAATGAAGCCAAATTGAATGAAATATTTCATGCTCCTTTTAAACTACTTAATGGGTAATGCAATTTAAAATGTTTACCTTTTGCCTTAATGTTATTTCTTTTTCATTTAAAAAACTATGATGTATTAATGCTTTTTTAAATGGATAATGAAAATAGATATGTTTTAACTCAGCACTAACTTGTTACAATTAACAAATTATTATGGTATTTTTAATGAGTTTTTCTACATGGTTAGTAAAGAGTCTTGCATATGAAGAAGGCAGTCTTGGAGAAATCCAAACATAATTTACAGTGAATGCTATTTTAGCATGGCTTTCTATTACTAGATTCATGTATACCTCAAGTGAAATAATATTTATTTCTAAAATATAACTGAAACTAATGAATATATCCTAATATCAACACAGGTTTAATCATACATCACTGGCATTTAAGCAAATTCCTTGATGCTAATACTTTACTTTTAATTATTATTATTATTAAATTGCTTTTTACTTAAGCTAACATTAACCTTACTTTTCATTCAGAAAACATAGAAGCTGTGGGAGGTGGTTTATCTGTTTTACCAATGCAGCTTTTTGTTTGTTTTATTTTTAATTTTTAAATCATTTTATTGGGCGCTTTTCAGCTCTTATAACATTCCATACATCGATTGCATTAAGCATATTTGTACATATGTTGCCATCATTATTTTCTAAACATTTACTTTCTATGTGACCCCTTGGTATCATCTCTTTTTTTTCCCTCCCGCCAACCCTTCCACTCTCGTGACCCTTGATAAATTATAAATTATTATTATTTTTATATATAATACCGACTGCTGTCTCTCTTCACCCATGTTGGTTGTTAGGTGTCGATTATTGCTATCGGTTCCCCCTTCCTCCCTCCATCTTTCCTCTACCCTCCTGATATCAAAACTTCCATTTCTGTTCCTGAGGGGTGTATCTGACCTGGAGTCCATGTGTCCTGAGCTCTTATCTGTACCTGTGTACATGTTCCAGTCTAACCAGAACTGAAAAACAGGACTGGGGTCATGATAGTGGGGGGTGAGGAAGCCTCCAAGAAGCAGTGGAATATTGTGTGTTTCACCAGTGCTACACTGCACCCTTGTTGACTCATCCTTTCCTTGTCACTCTTCTGTGAGGAGATGTCCTACATATGGGGTTTTGGGTCTCTGCTTTGACTCCCCTCATTCTCAACAGGATGGTTTATTGTTGTTGTTATTGTTGTTTTGGGCTTATTTTGAATCTTCTGGTGCCTATTACCTGATTCCATCAACATCTTATGATTGCATAGGCTGGTGTGCTTCCTCCATGTGGACGGGTTGCTTTTCTGCTAGAGGGCCATTTGTTTAACTTCAAGCCTTCAAGACTCCAGACACTATATCTTTTGATAGCCAGGCACCATCAGCTTTCTTCACTACGTTTGCTTGTGCACTCATTTTGTCATCCGTGATCGTGTCAGGAGGGACATTCATCACAGAATGCCAGGCTGTTAATAAAAAGTATTCTTGTGTTGAGGGAGGGCTTGAGCAGAGGCCTAAAGTCCACCCACTTTCTCACTGTGTTGCCATATAAACACTTCTATTTTGATGAATTAATATATTTATATAAGTGCACACCTATGTTTATACCTCTATCCCTAGCTTTGCTTCCTAGATCTTTCCTGTTTCCTTTTCTCTTCCTCTCACCCCACCATCACACTCAACCAATGCATCTTGATTGCATGTCTGATCAATGTGAGACTGAAGATGTTGATAGAATTCTTTAATTTCTTCACCATTAGCTTTTGTAGTTGGTCCATGAATTTGAATAATAGTTGTATTGGTTGGATTTCCTGATGATAGCAGACAGATATAATCCTGTCCTCACACAACATTGGAATTCAAAATACATATTGAAATATCCTTTTTGACTACGAATGCAAAGCTGTCCCTCTTGATTATGTCATTTCCAGCATAGTATACCATATGATTTCTGATTCAAAATGGCCATTACCAATAATGTCACTGTATCTTTTTGACCTTCAGCAAGTTTTTTAATTTAAAATTTGACTGGTACCAGTACTATTTACATAATATTATTAGTACACCTATTGAATAGATGATAGTAGTTATGACTGTTATTAGATTATTATTTGGCGTCAAATATTCCTCATGTGCTTTGCTACCAAATTTTGGGAGCCTGTGCTCAGTTCTTTATAGGTTGTTCAAACCATCAGAGACTTCAGACCTTCAATTTGGTAGCAAAGCAAGTGAGGAATGAATGTGATCTGATCCTCATTTCACTTTCTTCTGTTAAAATATTCAAAAGAAGGCGTGTTTGGGAAGAGACACTAGGTTTGCTTGGACTTCGATCTGAGAGAAGGTGGAGAAAGGTAAGGATAGTTATAAGAAAGAATATTTGTGCTTGGTTTTTAAATGTGCGTTCTGTGGTGCTGCTAGGGAACTGGAACAAAATCTACAAGCACATAAATGAGAAGTGAACCCAGATCACCATAAAAATCTCCATGAAAGTCTGTGATTCGTTGTCTTTTCAGGTCAGAAAATTAATTGTTTTGGATCCTAAGAAACGACTGACTACTTTTCAAGCTCTCCAACACCCATGGGTCACAGGAAAAGCAGCCAATTTTGTGCACATGGATACCGCACAAAAGAAGCTCCAGGAATTCAATGCCCGGCGCAAGCTTAAGGTAAAATGGCATAGGGTTTTTGTTTTGTTTTAAAGGAAATACTTTTTAAAACGCCGGTTTTTTTCTGCAAATATTGTACACATACACATTTTTTTAAATCATTTTATTAGGGTCTCATACAACTCATCACAATCCATAGATACATTATGTGTTAAGCACATTTGTACATTCATTGCCCTCATCATTCTCAGAACATTTGCTCTCCACTTAAACCCCTGGCATCAGCTCCTCATTTTTTCCCCTCCCTCCCTGCTCCTCCCTCCCTCTTGAGCCCTTGATAATTTATAAATTATTATTCTGTCATATCTTGCCCTGTCCGACGTCTTCCTTCACCCACTTTTCTGTTGTCCATTCCCTAGGGAGGAGGTCACATGTAGATCCTTGTAATCGGTTCCCCCTTTCCAACCCACTCTCCCTCTACACTCCCAGTATCGCCACTCACACCACTGGTCCTGAAGGGATCATCCGCCCTGGATTCCCTGTTTCCAGTTCCTATCTGTTCCAGTGTACATCCTCTGTTCTAGCCAGAGTTGCAAGGTAGAATTCGGATCATGATAGTGGGGGGCGGGAGCATTTAGGAACTAGAAGAGAGTTGTATTTTTCATCGTTGCTACATCGCACCCTGTCTGGCTTGTCTCCTCCCTGAGACCCCTCTGCAAGGGGATCTCCGGTGGCCTACAAATGGGCTTTGGGTCTCCACTCTGCACTCCCCCCAACCTTCACTATGGTAAGATTTTTTGTTCTGATGATGCCTGCTACCTGATCCCTTCAACACCTCATGATTGCACAGGCTGGTGTGCTTCTTCCATGTGGGCTTTGTTGCTTCTGGGCTACATGACCGCTTGTTTACCTTCAAGCCTTTAAAACCCCAGACACTATATCTTTTGATAGCCGGGCACCATCAGCTTTCTTCGCCACATTTGCTTATGCACTCATTTGTCTTCAGCGATCATATCATGGAGGTGAGCACACAATGATATGATTTTTTGTTCTTTGATTCCTGATAACTGATCCCTTCGGCACCTAGTGATCACACAGGCTGGTGTGTTCTTCCATGTGGGTTTTGTTGCTTCTGAGCTAGATGGCCCCTTGTTTACCTTCAAGCTTTTAAGACCCCAGACGCTATATCTTTTGATAGCTGGGCACCATCAGCTTTCTTCACCACATTTGCTTATTCACCCGCTTTGTCTTCAGCGGTTGTGTCGGAAAGTGAGCATCATAGAATGCCAGTTTAATAGAAGAAAGTATTCTTGCATTGAGGGAGTACTTGAGTGGAGGCCCAATGTAGAAGGGGGTTGTTGGCAGTTATGTTTAAAGTGCACTTGATTTAGTAACTAATGTTAATAATTAGCCTGCTTGATAAAAATTAAAGTGATTTCAGTGATAGAGAAAATTACCAAAATAGAAGTATGTTTATAGAATACCTATGAAATATAAATATTTGTGTATCTCATAACAGTGTTTAGGCATGCTGATAAGCCTGGAACAGTGTTTAGGCACTTGTCTATCCTATAATTGTGTGTAAGATGGCCTATATAAGTGTAAAATCTCTGTGAATGTCTGAGGGGTCAAAAACTGGGTTCCTATATTCAACAGTTTTATGTGCAAATTAATTTTAAATACTCTGAATTAAATAATATTGAATTAACCCAAATGAATTTGACTGTAGGATTCTTAAAAGCCCAGAATACCTTGCACCTTTGGTGGGACTATTGTTCTATGACATTTATAGTCTCATTAACAGGCTCAAATTTTTGAATATTAGTAATCTACAGGAAAACACATTGGCCCAGGCCTTCAATATGAGAAAGACTAAATGTACAAATTTGGTATTTTTTAAAAAAGGATTTTCAGCTTATCAGACTATATTTTTTATTAAAAATTTGAATTCTGCTCCACATTTTTTTCTAATTCTATTATGACCCTCGTTAGAACAATTGGTGGTGGAAGCTGGGCACCATCTAGTTCTTCTGTCACAGGGGAGATGAGGTTGTCCGTGAGTAGACTTGTTTCTTCTCTGTGTTTTTGGGTACCGTCCTAGCATCTTGCTTCTTGTGAGTAGAGCTCTGTCGTTGTGGCTTAGACAGCTACTCACAAGCTTTATAGATGCCAGACAATACTCCACCAGGAAGCAGATCACAATTTTTGTCAACTATGTTATGTTAATTGATGATGCTGTCTGAAGAAATGATAGTCCTAAAGTTTCAAATTCAGAAAACCAAATTTGCAAAGTGCTTGGAAATACCTGTGGAGTTACCTGCATTTGTGTCATCAATGAATCTATGATGGTAGGGTAAAAATATTGTTACAACATCATGGAAATATTTATTAAATATAAATATCAAAGGAGGATACTCTTGTTTCTCAACACATCTTACATCTAGGTCTAGATATTTCTCTTTTTTTTAATGTATTATTAATTGGGAGTTAATACATAATATCGTTTCATAATCCAATCACGTCATGTAGAATTGCACAATTGTTCCCACAATCAGTTTCTAAATATTCTTTTCCTACATGTACTCCTTGCCATTGTCTCTCTTTTAGCCCACGCCGACCACCATACACCCCTCCTCCCAAAACCCTGATGTTACTTGCTGTCACTATAGGTTCATCAATCCTGGGTTTCATATACCGGAAAATGAAAAAAAAACATGTAACACAACTTCAAGAGGGTCACCTCCAATGACAACACCTTTGATATACACTCTAATATGTACAAATAAAAACCAAACCAAACATTGCCAACCAAAATTACAGAACAGTTTAGAAACCAGATCAGGTCCAGCCTGATCTATCTACTGACAATATTTTAACCGTTCAAGCCAGATATCCTCGTTACTTATCTCTTCAAAACATTGTTTAGTAGCCACTTTTCTCCCAGCCCTCAATTGTAGCGAGTGGGGGGTGGGGGTCTGTGGAGGTTTATTTCCTATGTTGTTCCTTAAGCGAGTCCTGGGCTCCCACTGCCAGTCATTGCCTTCTGCACGCCGGATTCTGACAGTTTAGCTTCTGATGCTTCTCGCTCCTTCGACTTCAGGTTATATGGATTGTAATCATTTGGTGACTGATGATAGTGATAGTCTTCCATGTGGACTTAGTTGACATCTCGCTTATTTGGCTGCTTGTTTGGAGACAAGCCTTTAAGACCTCAGACACTATTTGATCTGATAGCCGGGCACCATATAATTTCTTTGCCACAGTTTGCTATAGCACCCGTACGTTCTGTGTTCCCTTCCTGAGGGCGGGTATTGTGCTGGGCCATGATACAGGAATCGTGAGTTGAAGCTAGGATTTAGTGTGAGCCCCAAATCCATTTCTGGATCTATAGACATGTTTTTTCTTTTGATTTGTTCTTTCTTTTGATTTTTTTCTTTTGATGTGTTAATATACGTGTCATATCATTCCATTGTTTAACCACATCAAGCAGAATTATACGACTGCTTCGTAGTTTGCACACATACTTTTCCTTCCTGAGCTCACTGACATGCTTGACATAGTCTCCCATTTATTTATTGCTGCCCCACCCCACCCCTGACCCCCGTAACCCTTGTTCTATTTGTTGTCCCGATAGGCTCATCAATCCTGGGTTTCATTTACCGAAAAAAAAAACCAAAAACCAATTAACAAAACTTCAAGAAGGTACTCCCAGTGACATAGCACCTCTGAGATACACCCTAATGTGAACAAGCACAAATAAAACAGAATGTCCATCATAGGGTTGCCGGAATGATGCATCTAGGATGTTGATGTAGCCAAGACCTTGTCTGTCCGCCTACCCACAGTTCACCCTCTTGGTCCTGGTGTCTTCCGCTTCCTCAGACCCCATGTATTCTCTGACCGAAGTCCTCAGGTTACAAGTGTGTCTGAGGTAGATAGAGTCCAGGTCACCCAGTGGAGTTCCCACATGCGATCTCACTGATGCACCCTCTGGAGCATGCTGTGTGCCCCGAAGATCCAGGGCTCAGTGTCGCATTGTCCCACGGCACCCGACCTGGGTCTCCAGGATCCCCTGATGCTCGCGTTCAGTGCAGCCCATTCATTGCATGCCACCAACGCCACTAGGTCTCGACATTTCTGAAGGCGCATCTTCATCTTTTTAACCCTTCCCGGACAATGCAGTGTTCTTTGATTTATACATCAAAACGACAGTTGTGGCATCCTTGAAGGATTCAAATCCTGCTCCTTTTCACATTTCTTACACTTGGGGGAACAAAAGAAGTCTAAAGGGGTAAGACCAGGGCATTAGCTTGGATAGTTACCCTAAAAAAATGAGCAGGTTCATTAGCACGATGGGAAAAAAATCCTCGTTGCGAATTTTCTTACCTTTTTCTCACCTATGCAGTTTTTTAGTTTCTTAATACGTCTTCATTAATAATCCCCTGTTACTGTGCTAAGTCCTTTGAGGGAATCTGAAGATGATCTCTTTGTAGTCCCTCAAAACAGTGCGATAACCTTCTGAACTGGCCTCTTTGCCTTGATGGTCACTGATCCAGCGGACCTCCGTGGAAGCCCCTAGTTTGCTATTTTTTGGAAGACCCCTTAATGAGGGTAAGACAAGCAGGTTGCTGAGAGAATGGGTCTGAGCCCTCGTGGCTCACAAAGACACCTTGACAACACCTTCTCTGCCATGAACCTGGCCACATGTGACCTGGAACCCCATCGGCAATACTTTTGAACTTATCTCACATGATGCCTGCAACCATGTGTTTGCTTATGCATACCTGTAGTTGTTTCCATCTATTCTCAATGGTGCACACACCTGTAACACACCTATATCCTCCCCTATGTGCTCAAACTCTCACTTCTACTTAGATTGTGTTCCACTTACTACATCCACATGCCGTGTCACTTGTCTCATCACCAAATAAATGAATGAAAGTAACTGGTCTGGGCTATTAAGTATATTCTCTCCTCCCCCTGTCTGTCTCTAAAACTTTGGTCTCTCTCTGTCTCTCTCTGTATGCCGAGTCTTGTCTTCTTATTAAAGAGGGGTCATACAATATTTGTCCCTAAATGTTTGACTTAGTTCACTTAGCAGTATGCCCTCTACCCCATCCATGTTATCATGCATTTCGTGGGCTCCTCATTGTTCTCCATGGTTGCATAGCATTCCACTGAATGTAGGGACCACAACTGGACCACACATCCACTTCTGGAAATTTCTGTTGCTTTCCTTTTGGGGCTCTGATGAATAAAAGAGCAATGAACATAAGTGTGTTCCTGTCTATTGTGTCACTGTTTTGAAACCTGGAGGGTATATACTGAGCAGTGGGATTGGCAGTCCATCGAAGAGCTCCGTTCTAGTTTTATGGGAAGTTTCCTTTTATTTGCCTAACAGTTTTGAATGCTACAAGCCCTCTTGAAATTAAACACATTGAGAGATTGACTACTGACCTATAAAACAAGCTTCCTAAAAGCAAAGTTGTGGTAGAACTCTTATTTGAGGACCTTAAATAGGGGTAACCCTTGACACTTTTTTCTTTCCTCTCAGGCAGCAGTGAAGGCGGTGGTGGCCTCTTCCCGGTTGGGAAGTGCCAGCAGTCACAGCAGCATCCAGGAGAGCCACAAGGCCAGCCAAGATTCCTCCCCAGTCCCAGAAGGCGACAAAGACATCCAAGTTTCCCCGGAGGGAGAGAGAGGTCCAGGGGCATTGGAGGGGGCAGAGGCTGAGCTGATAAAGGAACGGGCTTTAGGGGAAGGTCCGGCTGTAGACATAAGTGCTTTGGAAACCCCCCAAACAGCACCAGAAACCCTGGAAGATGGGCTACAGGTGGCTGAGTCAGAAGAAGGAGGAGGCCTGATAGAGGAAAAGCTTAAGAGCCTGGAGGAAGCGGCAGTCCCCACAGAAGCACCAGACAGCTCTGTGGGACTCGACATTCAGAAGTTTGACTTGAACCTGCCAGAGTTTTAGGTTGGCTTCTTAATACCTGGAAGCCAAACCCTGGTATTTCATGCACTTTCCTTCAGCAAGGAAGATGTGGAAGCATGATAATAACTATAGTGATTCTGTTCTTGAGGTGCAAAAAACTACCTATATACCAGTTGGTAATCCTAGCTTCAATGCATGTGACTGCTTTATGAACATAATAGTGTTTTTTTGCGGCATGTAATGGATAACTAAGACTGAGGAGTTAAATTTGAAGTGCAAGTAACCACAACATCACATTTACACACACAGACGTTTCACCAGAGACCTGGGGCACACATATGACATCAATAATAACCGAGTGGGTTTTTTTTTTCTTTGAAAACTAAGCCATCCTGTATCCCGATTTCATCACAAGGCAGTCATTTCTTTGGACTAGAGCTAAGCTAAGACCAAGTAGTCCCTCAAGGTGTGTTCTCATGCCAGCCACACTTGACTTTTTATCATCATCACATTCAAACTGTTTACAAGGAGACGGTTGTAGGTGGTAGTTGTACGGTACAGCAAAAACACATTCCACTCATAATGGTGAGAAACTGAAGCATATTTTCAAGGGTCATGAAACCATATAGCTCTAAAAATTATGTAAACAAGTTTATCATTGTTTATATGTGTCATATTAATAACAAAAAAAAGTTCATTCATAAAATGCTGCCATTTTTCCATATTGGAGGAAATCCAAGGGGGCTTCAAAATGTTTGCGAAAAAAAGAATCATTATCTTTTCATTCCATTCACTCATGAACTTTCTGAAGCCCCTCATCTACACACACTCCTGTTGAGGAATACATTATCCTCTCACCTGCTCTCCCAGAGGGGTGCTTCTGATGGAAACAAGCAAACCCTTGAAAGGGACTTAGAGTAATGGAGAACATTTGACTTCTTGTTCTCTTTGTGATAAAATTGTGTTTACTCATTACGTTTGGACAGCTTGACCAACAGAGACTTTTTCATGGATAAGTTCTGTAAGGACCAAGTTCCGAGTGTTCAAAAGATCTATTCCAACAGCTGGTGCCAAAATATCTGAAAATGGTAGGAATGACCTCCCATTACATGATCATTACTGACTGTGCCAGAGTGAGAGAACCTTTTTGCTTCAAAAAGTTCTCTTTTCTTTCATGGTTATCTAGATAAACTATGCATGAACTAAAGACATTTATCTGCCATATCTTCTTTTTCATACTTTGAATAGATGTGTCCAGATTTTACAACATACTTTTGAAAGTTTCCACTTTAAACAGTTTAGAACCATGCCATTCATATTTTACCCTTGAAAAACTCATAAAAATAAACCACCATGAGAACTAAGAATTCAAATCAGACTCCTAAGAAGCTGGAAATGTTTGTGATTTCTTTTTAGGATAAATCTCGCTTATCTTTGATTTAGATAAAATATCAACACTTTCCCCATACCAAGGTCAAACTAATTCCAGATTTATTTTTGGCTTTGAGTTTAAATTGACAAGTCACTCTTGATGAAGTTCCTTAATTTACCAAAAGCAATGATTATGTTTGAAGGCCGAAATAATAGACAGTGAAAATGACTCTCACACAAAAATCCTCATTTTTTAAAAAAAAAGACCTTTGGATGTTTTGGATTTTCTTCCAAACTATTATATGGGGAAATGAAATTCAGTCTCTTGTTCCTGAAGATTCTTAGAACTCAGTAGTTATCTTGCCTCCCAAGCACAAACCTTCCTTTCCTGCCTTCCTTTTGGGAAGAAAACCCAGTACAGCTTCCTGTCTACCACATAAGGGGCCTGCCTTGTCCTTGACACAGAGGACCAGAGTCCGGGAGAGGCCCCTCCTTTGAGTTTCCGAGTAAGCTCATTCTTGTTTTTTCTTTTCTTAAGTAGTAAAAGTGCTCTTCTCTCTTGCTTTCCTTCCTTTAATTATTCCCTGTCCGAATTCTCGTTTTTGCTATTAAAATAAATAAATAAAAGGGCTCACTATGTTTAACCTTTAAAATGATTTCTTCCCTGAGCTTTCCTAAAAGCTCTTGGCTCTTTAAAATCCAGGGGGAAAGCTGCCATCTGCAAAGCCTGTTCCTAGTGCACTTTCCCCAGGTATGCTGGCAGAGATAAAGCAGCACCTGCCAAACTGAACTTCTGTCAGGTGCAAATCTCTCAGAGAAGGGAAGTGCACACATTTTCCAGAAGTAGAGCACCATAGGAGGCTTGTTAGACAGTGTCCAGCACTTGGGTGTTGAGAAAACACTGTGTGGGGCCTTTCACACACACACACACACACACACACACACACACACACACACACCCCACCCCCACCCCCCACCCTCCCACACCCCCGGCATCGTTCCAAGGGTGGGGAGCTGCACTGGTGGGCCCTGTGAACTATTGTAAGAGCGATGTAGATGCAGGCACCCAAGGGTGCTTTAGAATTGGCCCATTTAAGCAAGCTCATTCTTTGCTGAGTACTCATGCTTAGGAGGGTAAATGCCTTTGACTTGTAAATTGCACTCTCAAAAATCAGTGGGGGTTATAAATTCTGAAGATTAAGTCCCAATTCAAAGGGAGGGGCAGTCCAAACTGATGCACAAATTAGTTTTTAGTCAAAAATTATTTTCTTAGGTTTCATATAGTTGTTACAACCTCAGTTAGGATAAATCACATTAACGTTTTTAAATGAACGGCCAACGTCTTCATTGCTTACTAAAATGGGATATGTTACCTATCAATATTACGTGGGTGAATAATGGCCTGTTGCAGACAGAGTTCTACTTCTGCAAACTACTTTCTAAAATTATAATTGACAATATAATTGCACACACACAGTGAAATTTCAACAGAGGACAATAAAGTACAGCGAGGAGCATAAAGCTAATAATTATTGTATCATATCGTTGACTTTTGAAATGAAGTCAGATATATAGTATAAACAAAACTAGACTACTAAAATAAGGAAAATATTGAGTAATTTCCTTCACTCAAAGGGTCACATTTGGAATACCAATGGGTTTTTTCAAACTCTAAAGCACTCCTTTGTCCTATAGGTGCATACGTGGGGTATAAATCAGAACATTTTATTATTTTAGAAGTTGTACTTTAGAACAAGTGTTGTCTAATGTAATTCAAGCCACCTAGGTAATTTTAAATTTTCTACTAGCTACATTTGAAAAAGTAAAAGAACAAAAGATATTAATTATAGAAATATATTTTTAATCCAACACAATGAATTATATTAGCACGTAGTCAATCTTTAAAATATTAATGTGATATTTTACATGGTTTTTATACAATTTTTTTCAAAATCAAGGGTGTAGATTACAATTTCAGTATATCAAGTGCTAAGTAGCCACATGTGGCTACTGGTTAAAGTGTTGAGCAGCACAGGTCTAGAGCACTTGTTACTTCAAACAAACTAACACTGGAATTGTTAAGCTGATAGTTAAACTGCCTCAGTTTCCCAAATTCAGGAACAAGTTAGAGGCCAAAGATAATGTTTCAAAACTATCATTACAGAAATAAGTAACAACCCCCCACACAAAAATTCCTACTTATTTTTCAGAAATGAGGTGTTTTTTTTTTAATGTTCTTAAGTTTATTTGCTACAAAAAAGAAGCTTGTGTGCTTCAGAGGAGGGAAGTCTCCCGACGTGGCTTTTGAAAAGCAATTTTCTGAACATTGCTAAATTGCCTAGTGGCCCCCTAACAGTTGGCCAATGCTCCCCTTTTGGCGCCAGATTCTGGACTACAGGCTAGAGTCTCCCCTGCGTAATACTTTGGGGCAATAGTTTCTTGCTTATCAAAATCTACTTTGGAAGAAGCATGTCCCTCATGTACAACAGCATACAGAAACTTATGAATAGACAGATCTGGGCTAAACTGGACAGAGCCTTCTAGAAATTTGCTGACCCAAATTTATTTGATGATTATACGATGGTGTCATCACAGTTCCTCCAAATATGAGAATATGGCAACCAGTGTTTTTTATATTTCCTTCGAAGAGTTTAATTGGCCCTGCGATTATACAGAGACTTTTGGAATGTTCTTACAGAAGGCCATTTCAGAGTAATTCTCTAGACATTTTCAGTTAATCCTTGTCGGTGTTGGGTCATCTCTGACTCATAGCGACTCTGTAGACAACAATGAAGCACAGCCTGGTCCTGGGCCGCCCTCACGATGGCTCTTCTGTATGAGCCCATTGTTGTAGCCACTGTGCCAATCCGTCTTGTCACGGGCCTTCCTCTTTTGCTGTCCCTCTGCTTTAGCAAGTATGATGTCCTTCTCCAAGAACTGGTCTCTCCTGATGACGCGTCCAAAGAACATGAGCTCAAATCTCACCATCCTTGCTTCTAAGGAGCATTGTGACTGTACTTCTTCCGTAGTAGATCTGTTATTTTGGCAGTCCATGGTACTTTCAACATTCTTCACCAACACCAGAGTTCAAATGCTTCTATTTTTCTTCAATTTTTCTTATTCAATATACAACGTTCACATTCATATGAGGTGATTGAAAATACCATGGCCCACCCTAGTTCTCAACACTTTAAAGAGGTCTTGTGCAACAGATATTCCTAATGCAATGAGTCTTTTGATCTCTCGACTGCTGCTTCTGTGAGCATTGATTGTGGATCCAAGCAAGATGAAATCCTTCCTAATTTTGATCTTTTCTCCATATACCATGATATTACCTATTGGTCTACTTGTGAGGATTTTGGTTTTCTTTACCTTAGTTGTAATCCTCACTGCAATCCTCGATTTTCATCAGCAAAGTCCTCCTCACTTTCAGCAAGCAAAGCTGTCACATATGCATATTTCAGGTTATTAATAATTGTTAGTGGCAGATTTAAAGAGAAAAGCCATTTTACCTTTTATTATACCTCAAGTAGGTGGTCCTTAGAACATATTTTGTAACTTAGGGTAGTTCTCTGTTTCCTCTTTAAGGTGCAAGGTAGCTGATGGTCGTCTACAATCTGACCATTTGGAGAGAAGTATTTTGTTTCATAATTCAAAGTTTTTATTACAGAACAGCTGGTTGCATTTCAGATTGTAAAATGAGAAGCAAATGTCAGAAAAGGCAAAGGATAAAATTAGGAAACAATTTGTTCTGTTTCAGGATGATTCTTGCAAAGCAAATGCAAAAAATAAAAAATCAACAAAGTGAATCAGTATGAGGTTTTTCTTGATTTAGGCTGACTAGATCTATAATTGACATAAGTATACCGAGCACAGTCAATTACATAAATATAGTGCCATTATGTAATTTTCATGTCATTTGGAGAAATTAATCTGTCTGGTTATCTAGGTCGACTTTAAATGATACAGAGTTTCAGACATTTACCTACATAATAGAATTTGTAATGTCCTTGTAATTACTGCCTCTTAAATCATATTCTAATTTCCTTAACCATCACCACTGAAAATTAGGCCATTAGTAACTTTTCAACATTTGCTTGTTAAACACTGCCTAATAGTTAGATTTTATGTGAATCTTCAGCTTTTGTTTTTGTTTTAAACATTTATTCTACATTTATTTGAACATTTTTCAATCTTCAAAACCATGCAAAAAGCACAAATGTAGCCAATAGTTTCCTATAATACTTGTTCCAAGTCCTTTTATTGTCTTGACATAGAACAGTGAGACCCTAGCTCCTTGACAAGAGGGGAAAACCAGGAGACGATTTCAGTGATACTGCGGTAGTTCCCCACCCGTGGGAGTTCAAGTCTACATTTTTGCCTGGACCTGTTCACGACCCGTTTGCGCCATCACTGCTCCTGCAGCTCTCCCCTCACCCATCTATATGCTCATCATGGAGATCAGTAAAAGTCAGCGATGAAAATGTTTCAGGGACAGTTGCTTTCAGAGTCCTAGTGACACAGTTGTCTCACTGTTAACGAAAAGATCAGTGGTCTAAACCCACCAGCCACTCCTCAGGGGAGAGAGAGGGCAGTTTGCTCCTGTAAAGATTTACCACCTCAGGAATCTGAGGGTGCCAGTTTAGTCTGTCTGATAAAGTTGCTAATGAGTCAAAACTGACCTGACGACAGTGTGTGATTTGGTTGTTTTTTTCAGCTTAGTTGGTGAATTTCCACAAGGGCACTGTAATTTACTCTAGAAGGATTTAATTGCCTGCCCTACTCTAGAGCAAGACTCAGCCTACTCCTGACATTCCTGTCATCCGGCCCACGGGTCCAGTTAGACTCTTGCCCCTGGAGCAAGATGAAAACGGACAGGAAAGTGGGACTTTGATGGTCCTGTTGAGAAAGGAAGACATCTGTCTGGCCTGGTCAAATGAGCCAAATGGGAGAAAATCCCTGCCCAAGTGCTGCTTGAAAGTGATGTGGCCTTTGGTCGGTAATGACAAAAATGGGCTTCCATCAAACTTTGTTCTTGGGTTATTAGCACTTGCTCCAGATCAATGTTCTGTTTCAATCCTTTGGCCAGCAGACTCTCCAGTTAGAGCTGGGGACACTCAGGTTCTGGAAGGAACACACAGTTTGGCTAGAGAAAGGGGTGGGAGGGGGTCTTTGGTGACCCAGATTGTAATTTGAAACTCTATAAACAGCCATGCTAAAACTGAAAAATCACATTATTCTTCTAATGAGTTGTTCTCAGTGCATTCTGAAGATTAACCAGGAAAACCCATTAATGTATATATAGATAAATATGAGTATAGGATTCTTATATTTGCATAAAGCTGTGATTTGGTTTGTTAAAATGACAGGTATTTAATCTTAACATTAAATCATAATCTTTATTTCAGAATGATTATTTCAGACTAGTCACATGTAATGGATTTCTCATTAGAATTTTTGAAAGCTGTTTCTTTCTCTAAGCTTTCTCACAATTTCAAGAATCCATTGTAGTTAATGAAAATTTATTCGATTTTTCCTTCATCCTTTGCGTGGCATTCCTTGGCTTATGTATGTTAGCTAATATATTTTGTAAAGATACAATTAAGTATGAATATAAATTGAAAACTATAATAACTGCCTCCTTTCAACCTCTCCTGTTTTAAACGTCTAAATATAGCTAATGTTCAACAGCATAGTATGCCAATAGCACGCTCATGGTTTATGGCTTTGTTTACATTTCTATGGCCAAGGAAACTTTCCAACTTATCTGTTTCATTTCTTTGAGAAGAGGACATTGAGTAGGAACATCAGATTTGTATTTTTAACCAGTTTACTATGCCTAATGAACTAAGAGTATCAAGCAAAAGCAATTATTTGTAAATGAGTTAGAGTAATGTTTTTACTATTGCTTATTTGA